CACACACACACATTGCACCCCTAACACTCACAGCACCCTCACACACACACTGCACCCCTGACACGCACATCACACACACACACTGCACCCCTGACACTCACAGCACCCTCACTCACACACTGCACCCCTGACACTCACAGCTTCCTCACATGCATACACTGCACCCTCACACACAGCTTCCTCACACGCACATAGCACCCTCTCAAACACAGCACCCACTCACACACAGCACACACACACTGCACCCATCACACACACAGCACCCTTACCCACATAGCACCCTCACGCAAACACAGCACCCATCACTCACACACACACTGCACCCCTCTCTCACACACACTACACCCCTTACACACACACACACACACACACACACTGCGCAATATGCTTTCCTGGCATTTTTGTCTCCTGGTATCCCAACTATGGAGACACCAAAAACAAATTTCAAGCAAACACAGTGCAAGCATGTTATTAAATTTGCTTGCGCTGTGCAGAACAAATAAAGGGTATTTTTCTCATGCCAGAGCTCTTCAGCAGAGCTCTGCGCATGGTCTACCCTGGAAGAGCATTGAACCAACATGTTCACTTTGTGATGGGGCGTGCTTGTCATTGGTGATGACAAAACACACCCTATCTGGCCCCGCCCCCTTTTTAGTGGCCCGCTGTAATTAAAAAATGCCTGGCCGAATTTTCTTCCCAGTCCGGCCCTGTACCACACCATATATATCTGCAATATATTCATACCTTTCGCTGAATAGTTCCTTCCAACTTGCTCATTTCTCCAAGGATAGCAGAAAGCAGAGAGGATTTTCCAGATCCTACTTGGCCCACCACAGCAACTAATGATCCTTCAGGAATCTTCATATTTAAACTAAAGAATACAAATGATTTGTGTTATTACAGAAATAAAAAGACTTTAAAATTCTCTTAAAGTTCGGTGGAATAAAGCATTTACTTTTCCAAATACAAGCTGTAGACTGCTCCTAACAGAAACCTATTTAGGTATTTGTATTTATATTTATCTTTACAAATAATAAAACAGACTTTGCTCTCCTGATCTTGTAGAGATTTGAATTTACTAAAAATAACAAGGAAAAAGTGTATCTAGTCGCTTCTTGGAGTAAATATTGATTATGTGTATATTTTACAAAGTGCTCCCCTTGCACTAGAGAATACAATAGTAAAAATAATAAGCACTAATACAACCACCAAAAGTGTAACACATAAAATAAATAAAAATACTGATTTATAGCAGAGGTCTTAGGATCAATCTTAGTTATGATGCAGAGCCGTGTCAGGCTCTCTATGTAAAGCCCAAGGGTGCCTATACAGGCAGAACAAGATTCCAGTAGTAGTACCACAACAATCCAATAAAGTAAAATTATATTTATTACAAATTTAGGGTGATATTAGGACATTTGTTTTTTACCGAAAAAGTTGAAGAGTGGACGAGTTCAAGGGAAGATGGAAAATGCACACTCCACAGTACAAAAACAAATTAAGAATTAACATTTCATTATTAGAAACAGAATGGGGAGTCAAATTACATGTGTGGCATCAAAATCTGTTTAATCAGATCTCTGCATACGTTGTATTCATAAAAATGTAGAGAATACCGATTCAGTACTATAAAATTAAACTACTTACTTTTTTAAAGTACAAGGTCCTGTCTTATCCCATTGCAAAGAAGCACCAACAAAACCCACAGAGTGATCTAGTAGTACAAAAACACGAACATGTATAGATAACATAGCAAGTATGAAGACAGAAAAAATAGTGGGGGCTTTATTTTAAAAACTCTACTTACTTCCATTATAATTAGTTTCAATGCAATTTGGATTAAGTTCTTCTCCGCAAAAAAAGTTTTCCAATCGACCAAGGGAAACTTTAGTCTAAAAGAGTATCAACCACATTTTAAAAGAGATATACGCATTGTATAGGAAAAGAATATTAACTCCTTAATTCCCCAAGCCAGAGTTTATGAGATCACTTAAAACAGCCCATAGCTGGGTTCATGCGTACCCATATTCCTGAGTGATGCCAGGCAGTCGTGAAAGCCTATTTCATCTAGTAAGCGTTGGTATGGCTAAACTGGAGTATAATTGTGATTTAGCCATACCCAGAATCAGCAATGGCTCATTCAATGTGAAACCCTTCAAAAATTAACATTGAACTGAGAACCAGTGCTAGGGGACCCAAGCACCATTACCACTTCAGGTGAGTTGTTATGGTGTCTATAGTGTTCCTTTATCAGCAGCACACCTGTCATCAGGTTACAGAACATTCCATGTTGGTATAGATTATTCCGTGACTAGAGTTTAATAATACTCAAAAATGTTCTTGTGACCAGATTGAAAATGTGTTTCGGCTTTTTAAAACTGACAGGATTATACAAATGTGTTAAAAATGCTTTAAATATAATGTGCTAAAAAACACCAGTAACAATTTGTCCAGATGGAGTCAAGACATTTGGTGGCATACAATATAGTAACACAGTGAGAAGGGCTGATAAAAGACTGAAAATTTAAATTCAAACACCTGAGCCACAAGCAGGAATATTAAAATACAAGGTAACACAACTTGCCTTGCTTTATATACATGCTGTAAATTGTTCAGATTGAGCAAATTAATTAAAGCTAAACAAATACATTCTGCTGATAAAACTTTAGGAATGTGTAAATTTATCTTCAACTTCTGTTTCCAAATGGTAACAGACTACTACATGCTGTAGAAATTCTCATTTATTTACCATTCCTAGTGACACTGGGAGTAAAGTATACTGTATTTAAAAGAACAAGTGTTTATTTCCAGCTCGGGGTGTCCTTTTAATTTTCAAATTCAACCTTCCATGCATTCACATTACTCCTACTGACTCATATTGAAGCCATTCCATATTTTGCTTAAAAAAATAACTATTCTGATTATGTGATATCTTGTTTGATCAATGAGGTATTATTAACACTGTTAATTAGAATAATTCCAACTGTACATTCTCCTTTGCTGGGAATACACTCAGTCCATTTCCGTACTTGTGATGGTCCTGCCACATTATCTGTCATGACCGTTTTTAAAAAGGACGATTTGGGATTTGAAATCAATAATTTCTATATCTTTAAAAATTCTTTCATTGCTGTAATTTCATTGTCCTTTTCTCTTACTGTGTGATAATCTTTATACAGATCACCAGATAGCGGTTTACGAACTCTTTATACATTTGTATTCAGGGCATACATTTATAAATTAACAAAACATCTATTTTAGCAAAAAGTAAGAAAAAGTTGGCATATAAAAATGTATATATTTACCTGCATTACCAAGGAGATTACAGTGGGCAAGTCAAAGAGCGGGAGGCGCAAAATATTAAACAGCGAAATAGTGGTAAAAACTTTGGAGGCCGTCAGAACATTTGCATCATCCAATAAAAAGTACACACCAAAGGTTGCTATGGATACCTACAAAACAGAGGTTTGGGGGAGAGAAAGGATTAGGGGAGAGAAAGGATTTAGCAAGCTGTATATTAAAAACATCTATTTCTGGATTGTTCAGTTCTCCATTTTGTTTCTTTTTTGTGGTGTTATTGTAGTGGAAAAAAAATATACTCGTTCTGTTGTATTTTTGTGTAAAAAAAATGTTTTCCCCCCAGACACAGCTGGAGTCAAACACAAAATCTGACAAACAAAGGCGTAGACAACATCAAAGGTTTTCACTAAATTGTACATTGTTTGGAATTTTACATTTTCGAACTGAAAACGGGAGAATTTGTTTTTCTATTTGGCTATTTTATCCTGAGATTTTAAATTCACTTTTAATTTCTGAAATGTGTTCGGGTAGACATCTTCTGTAAAACTGTAGTTGATGAAATAATAGATAAACTGTAAGATCAAGGATTTTCATATAAACCAATATGTGCATATAAAAGGTGTGCACGTATCACATAAAGGGTTAGTGTGTTTCATTATACATAAAAACTAAATATTTGATTGCCCAATTTTAGAAAAGCATTGTCAAAAATCAAATATTCTGACAAACTATAACATGCCACGTGGAAATAGCCATTTAAAAGCTAAATTTGGGTAAAACAAAAAAAAGTTAATTTACACTGCTTTATACACTTTTCCCAACTAAAGTATTATTATGGTGGTAATCAATAAGCAGTGAAAAGTGGCACTTTGACAAGGGAATTGTTATGTTTGTGCCAATTCTTTGGCTTGACAAATATTTAAAGTACTACTCCAACCAAAATCCAATGTTTTTATGAGCACTAGTTAGAATAACCCTTGCTCTGCTAGCTAGTCTCTCTGAGGTAAACCTCACGCCCGTTCCAGTTCTGTGATGGGATTTCAGCTAGGCCCAAAAGTTAGTAGGCCTAAAATCTCCATGTGGCATATACAAGTACAGGTATCTGTTAGTTAGTTACGTATAGCTAAGATACTGTCATCAATGTACTGAGCATGTGCTGGATTTGAAAAACCACATTTCATTCTCCTAGTGCCATACTACCTATCCATATAAGGTAATGCTGTAAATAATGTTTGTTGATTGCTGTAAGGGTACAGATGGGGGATGAATAGCTTAAAAAAGCCTGTACTCCATGTGCTCAGTGCTCAGACATTCTGAACATGAGTTCAGCTGAGACCCGATCGGTGAGAATAAAGACCTTTGCTTCCTGAACTGACCTGTGTCCGGACTCTCTGTACGTGGCTTCTTTAGAATTCTCTTATAACAGTTCCAAGGATACCTTCTCCCTCCAGCCCAATCCTCCTCTATTGACATGAATCCATTCCGGATTACCCATTAGTTAACCAAGGTGTCCCCCAGGCAGGGCCCAGGAGCTCCAGCTCTAATTGTTCCTCCCCATGCGAGCCGGCAGGGAGATCAAAAGATTTCCCTGCACAGCCATACAAAATTCACACAACCCTGTCAGACTCACCATGCCTTACTTTGCAGCACTGTCTGTCACACTCACCCCTTAATCTTGTAAGAATCACCCTCCATCACAATTACCCCCAACCTTGTTACACTCACCAACCTACCACTCTAACCCTTTAACATGCACCCCTCAACTCTATTACATTAGTCATCTTTATACACAGTCAACTCCCACATATGGAACACTGCCGCACCACAAACAAAACACAAAATCAAAACACAAGCAACCCCCCTTACAAACAACACAAGCAACTATCCCACAAACATATGGTCACAGACACAGACAAGGATGCTCGTGCGCATACAGTTACAAAATGCCAGAAACACATACACACTCGGTCAGAAATGCACATACACAGACACACACTCTTTCAGGCACATATACAGGTACATAATGCTAGACACACAGAAACACTCAGCACCTCCCCCGTCCAGCTCTCAACATAACATGTATTTTACTATATAGTTGTTAAATTATATAAACTAACCATTTAGAGCATACAACACCAAGTTTAGATTACACTATCTCTTTCCAAATGGCAAATATATACATAGACAGTAAGTAATTGGTGTGGACATTACAGAAAACACTCTATTATAAAACAATAGTATTTGTACTGTATTAGAATGAAAAAAATAAATAGCACAGTGATTACCAGAAAAGGAATACATGTTAATGTCAGCATGGAGAATGTAGTCAAGTAACCGGTGGATTTCAATACATCCATCTCGTTTTCCCGGATGTCAACAACCTTCTTTTGATAAGAGGGTTCCCATGCATACAGCTTTAAAATCTGCAAAATATGACGATTTAGCAAGAAATATCAAGTATATTTCCACATTTTCACTTTTAGTAATATTCTCTACTTTTTCACTAATCATGCCGAAAATGAGTATTAGACTGGATAAGTCATTTACACAGTACATTACTGATTTGATTCATATTAAAATGCATTAAATCCTGGAACATGCAAATATATTCATGCCAAATACCCATCATCAGGAAAATTTTATATAGAACAGGATGAAAATATCTTTTTTACAAAGACTAATTTCTAAACACATTTATTGTAGTTTAAAGATATATTGCTGTGAGTTTCATTGCTGTATATCTTGGTTATACACACATATACAGCAAAATATAAGCGACACTAGGATACAACATAGGGAGGAGTGATTTGGGCCAAAAAAAAAAACCACTATTAAAATCAAAGATGCATACTTGGAAAATGTTAAAGGAACACTATAGTCACCAGAACAACTACAGCTTAATGCAATATTATATTAAAAAAAATACCTTTATTCCATGCAAGATTTCATTTAATAATTTGATTCGCTGGTCTTTACTCTTTAGATGACTTTTCTGTATAACATAAAACAGAAAGGAAAGTTATTTATTATGTACCAGGCGTGACCTATATGACAGAAACATTTAAGAAGTATCATTGATCTCATAACAGTAACAGAGCCAAACCGACAAGTTTTACATGTGAATGGAGAATAGCCATTTAAAACATTATTTATGCAAATATAATTTAGAAGAAAACAATATCTTTTGAGTCTACCTTTAGCTGCTTTACTTTAGCAGCAATATATGCATTCAGAGGTATAATAAGAATCAGTACGGCTACACCAGCTAATATTGCAACGCCAAGCTCCTGCCACAGGAAAATGATAGCCATAAGAATTTGGAACGGTGCTGACCACAGGAGATTCAAGTTGACCATTAGGTCCATGAGCTGCTGAGCATCAGACGACATCAAGTTCACCAACTCCCCAGCTGTTAATTTCCTCCGTGAAGAATTTGCCAAATTCAAAGACTAAAATTTAAAAATTAAAAAAAAAAAAAAACATAAAGTGTTAGTAATATACACACATGAATTAAATAGTACATCACGAGCTTGCAGTAGTTAATTGTATTTTCACATATGCATTACAGAGGTAAATAAAATGACCATTAGGATCATTAGGAACAAACATGCATATATGAGTGCTTTCAGAGGTGGGCTCAGGTTATTTCTTAAATGAATTGTTAACTGGATACTGCAATTCAAAAACTAATTCAACAGAAAATACAATTTCTAAAGTAGAAATATAGCAGTACATGTTCCACAAGCTGTTTTCATCAATGGACCTAAATGTAGCAGGATTCAGAGACTCGTTAATGTAACAACTAAGGTCAAAGGGAGAAGAAGATCTCATCTGAACCCTGGAAGAAGAAATGTGTCCAGTCTGGGTCACCTCTGTTATATTTCCAGGGCCGGATTAAGAGCACAGTGGGCCTGGTGCTGACAATTATGATGGGCCTAATTACGGAATCTTATCGACCAAAAACACTAAAACAATCATACCTCCCAAGCGTCATGTATCTGATGGAGATGGTGCTGGAGGGAAACTCATAGGATGCAGCTATAAGAAACACATACTCTATGCTAATTTCTCTCTAATTTATGCTTTCATCTTTCAAGTAAATCCATAACCCCTAACAGCAGTGTCCAGTGAAGCAGGAAGTCAATGGGCAGGGTAAAAGGGTGTGCCACTGGCGCGAATCACGTGACAAGACCTGCCAAAAGGGGTGAACATGCCCAAAAAGGGGAACGTTTGTCCAAAGAATTGGAAGGTCAGCCTGGCATGAATGCATGTCAGGCTGCCTGCCAATCCTGCAGGCTGTCCAACTAAGGGCATACTATGCAGGCAGCACCTTGAGCTTGACATAAATGCGTCTAATGATGCGCTCACTCCATTCTTTCAAAAGACTGTCCCCTAGCACTCGCTGGTCCACTTGTCTCCTGGTATACAGGGAGTGCAGAATTATTAGGCAAGTTGTATTTTTGAGGATTAATTTTATTATTGAACAACAACCATGTTCTCAATGAACCCAAAAAACTCATTAATATCAAAGCTGAATATTTTTGGAAGTAGTTTTTAGTTTGTTTTTAGTTTTAGCTATGTTAGGGGGATATCTGTGTGTGCAGGTGACTATTACTGTGCATAATTATTAGGCAACTTAACAAAAAACAAATATATACCCATTTCAATTATTTATTATTACCAGTGAAACCAATATAACATCTCAACATTCACAAATATACATTTCTGACATTCAAAAACAAAACAAAAACAAATCAGTGACCAATATAGCCACCTTTCTTTGCAAGGACACTCAAAAGCCTGCCATCCATGGATTCTGTCAGTGTTTTGATCTGTTCACCATCAACATTGCGTGCAGCAGCAACCACAGCCTCCCAGACACTGTTCAGAGAGGTGTACTGTTTTCCCTCCTTGTAAATCTCACATTTGATGATGGACCACAGGTTCTCAATGGGGTTCAGATCAGGTGAACAAGGAGGCCATGTCATTAGATTTTCTTCTTTTATACCCTTTCTTGCCAGCCACGCTGTGGAGTACTTGGACGCGTGTGATGGAGCATTGTCCTGCATGAAAATCATGTTTTTCTTGAAGGATGCAGACTTCTTCCTGTACCACTGCTTGAAGAAGGTGTCTTCCAGGAACTGGCAGTAGGACTGGGAGTTGAGCTTGACTCCATCCTCAACCCGAAAAGGCCCCACAAGCTCATCTTTGATGATACCAGCCCAAACCAGTACTCCACCTCCACCTTGCTGGCGTCTGAGTCGGACTGGAGCTCTCTGCCCTTTACCAATCCAGCCACGGGCCCATCCATCTGGCCCATCAAGACTCACTCTCATTTCATCAGTCCATAAAACCTTAGAAAAATCAGTCTTGAGATATTTCTTGGCCCAGTCTTGACGTTTCAGCTTGTGTGTCTTGTTCAGTGGTGGTCGTCTTTCAGCCTTTCTTACCTTGGCCATGTCTCTGAGTATTGCACACCTTGTGCTTTTGGGCACTCCAGTGATGTTGCAGCTCTGAAATATGGCCAAACTGGTGGCAAGTGGCATCGTGGCAGCTGCACGCTTGACTTTTCTCAGTTCATGGGCAGTTATTTTGCGCCTTGGTTTTTCCACACGCTTCTTGCGACCCTGTTGACTATTTTGAATGAAACGCTTGATTGTTCGATGATCACGCTTCAGAAGCTTTGCAATTTTAAGAGTGCTGCATCCCTCTGCAAGATATCTCACTATTTTTGACTTTTCTGAGCCTGTCAAGTCCTTCTTTTGACCCATTTTGCCAAAGGAAAGGAAGTTGCCTAATAATTATGCACACCTGATATAGGGTGTTGATGTCATTAGACCACACCCCTTCTCATTACAGAGATGCACATCACCTAATATGCTTAATTGGTAGTAGGCTTTCGAGCCTATACAGCTTGGAGTAAGACAACATGCATAAAGAGGATGATGTGGTCAAAATACTCATTTGCCTAATAATTCTGCACTCCCTGTATAGTCTGAGACAGAGAAAAGATGTCTGTAGTGAGTGTAGAAGAAAGGGGACATGCCACAGTGTTAGAGAGACCAACATCTGCATTACCTAAACTAACTTTAATGTCAGCAAGTGCACACAAGTTTTGTTCCCATACATCCCTCTTAAGCTTCCAAACTTAAAGGGACACTATAGTCACCAGAACAACTACAGCTTATTGTATTTGTTCTGGTAAGTAGAATCATTCCATTCAGGCTTTTTGCAGTAAACACTGTCTTTTCAGAGAAAATAACTCCACTGGCTGCTCCTTAGATGGCTGCTAGAGGTGCTTCCTGGGGCAGTACTGCCTAGTGTGCAGCACTGCCATTCAGTGTCTCCACCCTCTGCATGCAGACACTAAACTTTCCTCATAGAGATGCATTGATTCAATTTATCTTTATGAGGAGATGCTGATTGGCCAGGGCTATGTTGGACTTGTGCTGGCTCTGCCCCTGATCTGCCTAGTTGACAGTCTCAGCCAGTCCTATGGGGAAGTATTGTAATTTGCTCAGACCACCACTTCTGAGCCAGCAGCTGCAGAATTTAAAACAAGTAATATTTTACTATATTTAGGGAGGCAAGAAGGGGCCAGGGTGGTGGTTTTAACATAATAGGGTCAGAAATACATGATTGTGTTCCTGACCCTATAGTGCTCCTTTAAGCAAGAGTATGTGAAGAGTAGTTAAGGTTGTCACCTTTCTTGGAAAAAAGTACCAGCCTTAATAATTTGTATAATTAATTGGTTATGCATGACATCACATGATGTAAATCACAAGGAGTGACATCAGAGAAAATTCTATAAAATCACCAAACTACTCACAGTTTGATTCTGCTGTATAGATGCTCCCAGTGTCTCCCTGTCTCCCAGTGTCTCAGTCTCGCAAGTCACCCAGTGTCTCAGTGTCCCTATGTATCACAGTGTCAGTGTCCCCATGTCGCCCAGTCCACTAGTCTCCAAGTGTCTGTGTCCCCATTTCTCCCAGTGTCCCAATGTCTCAGTGTGTCCCCATGTCACTAGGATACTGGGGACACTGAGAGACCCAGGGACACTGAGACATTTAGGGAAACTGGGAGAAATGGGGACACTGAGACACTAGGGACACAGACACTGGGAGACATGGGGACACTAAGACACTAGGGACACAGACACTGGGAGACTAGGGGACACTGGAAGACTAGGGGACACTGGCTTGGAGACAGACACTTGGGGACACTGGGAGACATGGGGACAGTTGTGGACATAGACATGTGGACACTGGGACATATAGGGACACTGGGAGACATGGAGACACTGAAACATTTGGGGACACTAAGACACTAGGGACACAGACACTGGGAGACTAGGGGACACTGGGAGACTAGGGGATACTGGGAGACTAAGGGACACTGGATGGGAGACAGACACTTGGGGAGACATGGGGACAGTTGTGGACATAGACATGGGGACACTGGGACACATGGGGACACTAGGCACACTGAGATACATGGGACACAGACACTGGGAGACTTGGGGACACTGAGACACTAGGGACACTGGCTGGGAGACATAGTGTCTCCGTGTCCCAATGTCTCCCAATGTCCCTATGTCTCACAGCGTCCCCATGTGTCTCAGCATCCCCATGTGTGTCAGTATCCCCTAGTGTCTCAGTGTCCCCAGGTCTCCCAGTGTCTGTGTCCCCATGTGTCCTAGTGTCTCAGTGTCCCCTAGTGACAGTGTCCCCATATGTCCCCAAGTGTCTGTGTCCTAGTGTCTCAGTGTCCCCTAGTGTATGTGTCATCATATGTCCCCTAGTGTCTGTGTCCCCTAGTGTCTAAGGGTCCCCATGTGTCCCCTAGTGTCTCAGTGTCCCCTCGTGTATGTGTCCCCATGTGTCCCCTAGTGTCTCAGTGTCCCCATGTGTCCCCATGTGTCCCCTAGTGTCTCAGTGTCCCCATGTGTCCCTGCTGCCTTTCCCCCGATCCCTCACTTACCTGAGCTCTAGAACTGCTGTCTGGACTCTCTGTGCTGTGTAGCTGCTCCCCCACGGATCAGTGAGTAGTAGAGAGAGGCAGGGATATTCTGTAACTTCCTATCCCTGCCTCTCTCCACACACAGTGACCCCTACTGGCCGGTGCTGGTATTGCAGAGTAATTTCCATTTATTCTGAGAAAATTACCTGCATTTGTATTGCCAGTATTACTGCAATACCGGCACAGCCAGGCAGCCTCAAATACCATCTGTGCCATTAAAATACCAGTCAGGTGGCAAACCTAAGAGTAGTGTGTAAAAAAAAAAAAATTTTTTTTTTTTTTTTTTTTAAATGGGCCTATTCCATGGGCCTGGGCCTGGAGCTGCAGCTCCATCAGCCCCTATGTTAATCCGGCCCTGCCAGTATGTATA